CCTGATTGCAACCCCAGCTTTCAGTGATATAATACCAGTGAATCGATTTGTGCTACTATGATGTATGTTACACTTCTCAGACAAAACCAGGCCTGACAAAATAGACAGGTTATATATGTTATATATGTATTTATCCTTCTGAAACAGAAATTCTCTATGTATTTTTATCCCTTCAGGAAGTCTGTTATTGATGAGTCTTTGATTTTGTTCAAAGGCAGACTGTCGTTCAAGCAGTATATACCAAGCAAGAGAAAATGCTTTGGTATAAAGTTGTTTGTACTTTGTGATTTCTACAGTGGTCTTGCATTGGATATTACTGTGCACACTGGAAGTAATACATTGCAAGATACCAGGAAGTTATTGGGTATCTCTGGTGATGTGGTTAGAACAATGACAAAACCACAATCTTGATAAGGGGTATACATTATATACTGATAACTGGTACACAAGCCCAATACCCAGCGATTTTTAGCGCGTGAACATGACAGATGTGTGCAGTATAGTGCGTGCAAATTGTAAGCATATGCCTAGGTTCGAGTTTGGTACTCGTAGAGGTGAGGTGCAGGTGTTTCCTGCCAATGACATCATGGCATTTTGGCGGCATGACAAACGACATGTCACACTGTCGACATCAATTCACTGAAACAAAATGACAGACACTGGCAGGCAGAATAGAGAGACCAATGAATCCATTCTATAACCTGCACCTGTGATGTACTACACCCTCAATATGTGCTCAGGGGGCAAATGTGACATGCAAATTGGGTTTCCTGACTGTGTTTGCAAGAGTTGTAAGTGATACATAAAACTCTTTTTTTCATCTTCTGAACATTTCCATGCTGAATGCTTATAATATGTACAAGTTGAATGTAGGATTTCAGATGAGCAAGGAGGTTTTAGAGTGGATAGGGGATGTGTAGATCAAGTGTTTACATTGAAGCATATATGTGAACAGTATTTAGATAAAGGTAGGGAAGTTTTTATTGAATTTATGGATTTAGAAAAGGCGTATGATAGAGTGGATAGAGGAGCAAAGTGGCAGATGCTGCAAGTATATGGAATAGGTGGTAAGTTACTAAATGCTGTAAAGAGTTTTTATAAGATAGTGAGGCTCAGGTTAGGGTGTGTAGAAGAGATGATGATACTGTGCTTATGGGAGATTGTAAAGAAAAATTGCAAAGGTTAGTGGACGAATTTGGGAGTGTGAGTAAAGGTAGAAAGTTGAAAGTGAACATAGTAAAGAGTAAGGTGATGAGGGTATCAAATGATTTAGATAAAGAAAAATTTGATATCAAATTGGGGAAGCGGAATATGGAAAAAAGAATGTTTTCAGATATTTGGGAGTTGACGTGCCAGCGGATGGATTTATGAAGGATGAGGTTAATCATAGAATTGATGAAGAAAAAAAAGGTGAGTGGTGCATTGAGGTATATGTGGAGACAAAAAATGTTATCTATGGAGGCAAAGAAGGGAATGTATGAAAGTATAGCAGTACCAACACTCTTATATGGGTATGAAGCTTGGGTTGTAAATGCTGCAGCGAGGAGGCGGTTGGAGGCAGTGGAGATGTCCTGTCTAAGGGCAATGTGTGGTGTAAATATTATGCAGAAAATTCAGAGTGTGGAAATTAGGAGAAGGTGTGGAGTTAATAAAAGTATTAGTCAAAGGGCTGAAGAGGGGTTGTTGAGGTGGTTTGGTCATTTAGAGAGAATTGATCAAAGTAGAATGACATGGAGAGCGTATAAATCTGTAGGGAAAGGAAGGCAGGGTAGGGGTCGTCCTCGAAAAGGTTGGAGGAAGGGGGTAAAGGAGGTTTGGTGGGCGAGGGGCTTGGACTTCCAGCAAGTGTGCATGAGTGTGTTAGATAGGAGTGAATGGAGACGAATGGTATTTGGTACCTGACAAGCTGTTGGAGTGTGAGCAGGGTAATACAGTGGAACTTCAAATATCAAACTTTCTTCAGTCCAGAAGGCTGTTCGAGTGCCTTTACCGAATGAATTTATTCCCATCAGGAATAATGTAAATTAGATTAGTCCATTTCAGACCCTCAAAAATACACTTATAAAAGCACTTACAAAAATACCCTTACATAATTGGTCGTATTGGGAGCAGTTCGATTTTTGAGGTTCCACTGTATTTAGTGAAGGGATTCAGGGAAACCGGTTATTTTATATAGCTGGACTTGAGTCCTAGAAATGGGAAGTACAATGCCTGGGGTTTAGGAGGGGTTTAGGATATTGGCAGTTTGGAGGGATATGTTGTGTATCTTCATACGTATATACTTCTTAACTGTTGTATTCTGAACACCTCTGCAAAAACAGTGATTATGTGTGAGTGAGGAGAAAGTGTTGAAAGACGATGAAAATATTTTCTTTTTGGGTCACCCTGCCTCGGTGGGACGGCCGACTTGTTAAAAAAAAAAACACTGGTCCATTACCCACTATTGAAGACGAGTGATCAGACTGGTTTACAGCAAGCTCCCCTACCTTCCAATTTTCCTCCAACTGGTAGACAGCAAAGCAATCCCACCCACTGTCCTCCAACTGGTAGACAGCAAAGCAATCCCACCTGTTGTCCTCCAACTGGTAGACAGCAATTCACCTCCCACTGTCCTCCAAATGGTAGACAGAAAGCTATCCCACTCATTGTCCTCCAACAACTGGTGGACAGCAAGCTACCCCCCTCACTGTCCTCCAACCACTGGTGGACAGCAAGCTATCCCACCCACTGTCCTCCAACTGGTAACAGCAAGCTATCCCACCCACTGTCCACCAAATGGTTGATAGCAAGCTATCCCACCCACTGTCCTCCAATTGGTAGACAGCAAGCTATCCCACCCATTGTCTTCCAACGACTGGTGGAGAGCAAGCTACCCCCACTCTCCTCCAATGACTGATGAACAGCAATTCCCCCCCCACTATCCTCCATCTAATGGACATCAAGCTACCCCCCCCCCCATTGTATTCCAATGACAGGTGGACGGCAAGCTATCCCCCACTGTCTTCCAACAACTAGTAAACAGCAAGCTATCCCCCATTGTCCTCCAACGACTGGTGGACAGCAAGCTACCCCTCACTGTCGTCCAACCACTGGTGGACAGCAAGCTATCCTATCCAATGTCCTCCAAATGGTAGACAGCAAGCTACCTCACCCACTATCCTCTAACTAATGGACAACAAGCTATCCCACCCATTGTCTCCCAACAACTGGTGGACAGCCAGCTACCCCCACTGTCCTCCAATGACTGATGGACAGCAAGCTCCCCCCCCCCATTGTCCTCCAATGACAGGTGGATAGCAAACTATCCCCTATTGTCTTCCATAAACAAGCAAACAGCAAGCTATCCCCCACTGTCCTCCAACAACATGTGGACAGCAAGCTACCCCCCATTTTCCTCCAACAACATGTGGACAGCAAGCTATCCCCCCAATGTCCTGCGACAACTGGTGGACAGCAAGCTATCTACCCCCATTGTCCTCCAACAACAGATGGACAGCAAGCTATCCCCCATTGTCCTCCTAGAAGTGGACAGCAAGCTATTCCCCCATTGTCCTCCAATGACTAGTGGACAGCAAGCTATCCCACCCAATGTCCTCCAACGACTGGTGGACAGCAAGCTATCCCACCCACTGTCCTCCAATGACTAGTGGACAACAAGCTATCCCACCCTTTGGCCTCCAACATAAAAACAAGTTGGACTAACAATTCTGATACGTAGTAGCATCTTTTATCAGAAACATAAATATGTAGGAGTCAAGGTAAGATGTGGTAAATTTTTTTTTTTTTTTATTATCACACTGGCCGATTCCCACCAAGGCAGGGTGGCCCGAAAAAGAAAAACTTTCACCATCATTCACTCCATCACTGTCTTGCCAGAAGGGTGCTTTACACTACAGTTTTTAAACTGCAACATTAACACCCCTCCTTCAGAGTGAAAATATACTGACAAATATTAAACAAGAGAGACATGCAGTACTAGGATATTTTAATGTGTTTCACCATGAAAATCAGGACTGAAGAAGCCATAAGTATTGAAAAGTTTCTTATTATAGTATCCCAATACCGCACGTGTCTTATTTCACATGTAGAAGTCAACCATATTGGTAGATCCTTAACATATACAGTACAATAAACAGTAGTGGAGCCTTATATTTAATCTCTCACTGTGACTCTCTACTTTAGAAATTCCTAAATTTATACTATTACTATGCTTGTCACCTTGACCTTCATCTCTAAGCTGTGTAGTTGTCTTGTGTAGTGCAGCATGAATGGCTTTCTTGCAGTGTAGCAACATGCAGTCTGTCAACCAGAATTTGTTTAACCTATCCATGGTACACATTTCTTTTCTTTCAACGTACCAGCCGTATCCCACTGAGGTGGGGTGGCCCAAAAGAAACAACTAAAGTTTCTCCTTTAAAATTTAGTAATATATACAGGAGAAGGGGGTTACTAGCCCCTTGCTCCCGGCATTTTAGTCGCCTCTTATGACATGCATGGCTTACAGAGGAAGAATTCTGTTCCACTTCCCCATGGAGATAAGAGGAAACAAACAAGAACAAGAATTAGAAAGAAAATAGAAGAAAACCCAGAGGGGTGTGTATATATATGCTTGTACACGTATGTGTAGTGTGACCTAAGTGTAAGTAGAAGTAGCAAGACATACCAGTAATCTTGCATATTTATAAGACAGACAAAAGACACCAGCAATCCTACCATCATGGTACATATTTATAATGTATTTATAAAATAAGGAGCAAGGGGCTAGTAACCCCTTCCTTGTATATATTACTAAATTTAAAAGGAGAAACTTTTGTTTTTCCCTTTGGGCCACCCTGCCTTGGTGGGCTACAGCCGGTTTGTTGAAAGTAGATTTATAAAATAAATTACTGAACTTAAAATTTGAGTATCACCAGCCTGTAGATGGCAGTTCATTTTTTATTATAAAGCTCAAGATTGAGTAAGTCACCTAAATAAGTAATGCAAAACTCCAATTGTCATACCTGTTCTGGTAGCTGAAGTACTTGGCATCCCGAGGAATAGTGCAGAGCTGCTTCCCATAACAACAAAGCACCTGTGGATTGAATGTATACTTGCGACCACAACAATATCCTAATTGTTGCATTACTGGATCAATCTCGGCTTCGAATACTTCTGCAAGCTGTCAAGATGAAAGGATACCAAAAAAATTTTATTATGACTCTACATGAGCATCATCAACTATTAATATGGTACAACAAGCCCTTGGTATTTGCAGAGGTAACATTCCTAAAAACAAAAACTGAAAAATGTCAAAACTACAAACACAAAGAAAACACCTGTTACCCAAAATTATGTGCAGAATGATAAAAAGAAATATTGCAAATGGTTTGGCAAATGTCAAAGCTGTGAATACTAAGAGTTAACTGTACCATTTATGGTAGGCAAATAATCAGTAATTTTCGTATGTCAAATTACTTTTTAAACTAATGTGATGAAGCAAATGTGCTTAATTTCAAAAAGAAAAGATTGAGTACAATATAAAACAATAATAATGAAGCAGCATTTATTTCTATATCACCTAAGCAAGAATGAATAAATGGATACCTTTACTTAAAGATGGGGGAAGGCAAAAATTAGTTCATATTTTATTATTTATTATTATTATCACACTGGCCGATTCCCACCAAGGCAGGGTGGCCCGAAAAAGAAAAACTTTCACCATCATTCACTCCATCACTGTCTTGCTAGAAGGGTGCTTTACACTACAGTTTTTAAACTGCAACATTAACACCCCTCCTTCAGAGTGCAGGCACTGTACTTCCCATCTCCAGGACTCAAGTCCGGCCTGCCGGTTTCCCTGAACCCCTTCATAAATGTTACTTTGCTCACACTCCAACAGCACGTCAAGTATTAAAAACCATTTGTCTCCATTCACTCCTATCAAACATGCTCACGCATGCCTGCTGGAAGTCCAAGCCCCCTCGCTCACAAAACCTCCTTTACCCCCTCCCTCCAACCTTTCCTAGGCTGACCCCTACCCTGCCTTCCTTCCACTACAGACTGATACACTCTTGAAGTCACTCTGTTTCGCTCCATTCTCTCTACATGTCCGAACCACCTCAACAACCCTTCCTCATCCCTCTGGACAAAAGTTTTGGTAATCCCGCACCTCCTCCTAACTTCCAAACTACGAATTCTCTGCATTATATTCACACCACACATTGCCCTCAGACATGACATCTCCACTGCCTCCAGCCTTCTCCTCGCTGCAAAATTCATCACCCATGCTTCACACCCATATAAGAGCGTTGGTAAAACTATACTCTCATACATTCCCCTCTTTGCCTCCAAGGATAAAGTTCTTTGTCTCCACAGACTCCTAAGTGCACCACTCACCCTTTTCCCCTCATCAATTCTATGATTCACCTCATCTTTCATAGACCTATCCGCTGACACGTCCACTCCCAAATATCTGAATACATTCACCTCCTCCATACTCTTCCCTCCAATCTGATATCCAATCTTTCATCACCTAATCTTTTTGTTATCCTCATAACCTTACTCTTTCCTGTATTCACTTTTAATTTTCTTCTTTTGCACACCCTACCAAATTCATCCACCAATCTCTGCAACTTCTCTTCAGAATCTCCCAAGAGCACAGTGTCATCAGCAAAGAGCAACTGTGACAACTCCCACTTTATGTGTGATTCTTTATCTTTTAACTCCACCCCTCTTGCCAAGACCCTCGCATTTACTTCTCTTACAACCCCATCTATAATATATTAAACAACCATGGTGACATCACACATCCTTGTCTAAGGCCTACTTTTACTGGGAAATAATTTCCCTCTTTCCTACATACTCTAACTTGAGCCTCACTATCCTCATAAAAACTCTTCACTGCTTTCAGTAACCTACCTCCTACACCATACACCTGCAACATCTGCCACATTGCCCCCCTATCCACCCTGTCAAACACCTTTTCCAAATCCATAAATGCCACAAAAACCTCTTTAGCCTAATCTAAATACTATTCACTTATATGTTTCACTGTAAACACCTGGTCCACACACCCCCTACCTTTCCTAAAGCCTCCTTGTTCATCTGCTGTCCTATTCTCCATCTTACTCTTAATTCTTTCAATAATAACTCTACCATACACTTTACCAGGTATACTCAACAGACTTATCCCCCTATAATTTTTGCACTCTCTTTTGTCCCCTTTGCCTTTATACAAAGGAACTATGCATGCTCTCTGCCAATCCCTAGGTACCTTACCCTCTTCCATACATTTATTAAATAATTGCACCAACCACTCCAAAACTATATCCCCACCTGCTTTTAACATTTCTATCTTTATCCCATCAATCCCGGCTGCCTTACCCCTTTTCATTTTACCTACTGCCTCACGAACTTCCCCCACACTTACAACTGGCTCTTCCTCACTCCTACAAGATGTTATTCCTCCTTGCCCTATACACGAAATCACAGCTTCCCTATCTTCATCAACATTTAACAATTCCTCAAAATATTCCCTCCATCTTCCCAATACCTCTAATTCTCCATTTAATAAGTCTCCTCTTCTATTTTTAACTGACAAATCCATTTGTTCTCTAGGCTTCCTTAACTTGTTAATCTCACTCCAAAACTTTTACTTATTTTCAACAAAATTTGTTGATAACATCTCACCCACTCTCTCATTTGCTCTCTTTTTACATTGCTTCACCACTATCTTAACCTCTCTCTTTTTCTCCATATACTCTTCCCTCCTTGCATCACTTCTACTTTGTAAAAACTTCTCATATGCTAACTTTTTCTCCCTTACTGGTCTCTTTACATCATCATTCCACCAATCACTCCTCTTCCTTCCCGCACCCACTTTCCTGTAACCACAAACTTCTGCTGAACACTCTAACACTACATTTTTAAACCTACCCCATACCTCTTTGACCCCATTGCCTATGCTCTCATTAGCCCATCTATCCTCCAATAGCTGTTAATATCTTACCCTAACTGCCTCCTCTTTTAGTTTATAAACCTTCACCTCTCTCTTCCCTGATGCTTCTATTTCCTTGTATCCCATCTACCTTTTACTCTCAGTGTAGCTACAACTAAAAAGTGATCTGATATATCTGTGGCCCCTCTATAAACATGTACATCCTGAAGTCTACTCAACAGTCTTTTATCTACCAATACATAATCCAACAAACTACTGTCATTTCACCCTACATCATATCTTGTATACTTATTTATCCTCTTTTTCTTAAAATATGTATTACCTATAACTAAACCCCTTTCTATACAAAGTTCAATCAAAGGGCTCCCATTATCATTTACGCGTGGCACCCCAAACTTACCTACCACACCCTCTCTAAAAGTTTCTCCTACTTTAGCATTGAGATCCCCTGCCACAATTACTCTCTCACTTGGTTCAAAGGCTCCTATACGTTCACTTAACATCTCCCAAAATCTCTCTCTCTCCTCTACATTCCTCTCTTCTCCAGGTGCATACACACTTATTATGACCCACTTTTCACATCCAACCTTTACTTTAATCCACATAATTCTTGAATTTACACATTCATATTCTCTTTTCTCCTTCCATAACTGATCCTTCAACATTACTGCTACCCCTTCCTTTGCTCTAACTCTCTCAGATACTCCAGGTTTAATCCCATTTATTTCCCCCCACCGAAACTCCCCTACCCCCTTCAGCTTTGTTTCGCTTAGGGCCAGGACATCCAACTTCTTTTCATTCATACCATCAGCATTCATCTGTTTCTTGTCATCCGCACTACATCCACGCACATTCAAGCATCCCAGTTTTATGAAGTTTTTCTTCTTCTCTTTTTTAGTAAATGTCTACAGGAGAAGGCGTTACTAGCCCATTGCTCCTGGCATTTTAGTCGCCTCATACGACACGCATGGCTTACGGAGGAAAGATTCTTTTCCACTTCCCCATGGACAATAGAAGAAATAAAGAACAAGAGCTATTTAGAAAAAGGGAAAAAACCTAGATGTATGTATATATATATGCATGTGCGTGTCTGTGAAGTGTGACCAAAGTTTAAGTAGGAGTAGCAAGATATCCCTGTTATCTAGCGTGTTTATGAGACAGAAAAAGAAACCAGCAATCCTACCATCATTCAAAACAGTTACAGGTTTCTGTTTCACAGTCATCTGGCAGGACGGTAGTACTTCCCTGGGTGGTTGCTGTCTACAAACCTACTACTAGGAATATTTATTCTCTAAGTGAATTAATAATCAATTCCCAAGTACATAATTAACTCACGAAATCGTAATGATACGATTGTAAACAAATCATACCACAGGTGGAGTCAGAACTCGCGATCAGAGAGTCATAAAACTCAAGACCAACGCGTTAGCCACTGGGCCAGCTAGCTACAGTAAGATTCATCCAACTAGGTACATTTATACACCATAGTAAGGGTAATATTTAGTGAAGGGATTCAGGGAAACTGGTTATTTTTATATAGCTTGACTTGAGTCCTGGAAATGTGAAGTACAATGCCTGCACTCTTAAAGGAGGGATTCGGGATATTGGCAGTTTAGTGGGATATGTTTTGTATCTTTATAGGTATATGCTTCTAAACTGTTGTGTTCTGAGCACCTCTGCAAAAACAGTGATTATGTGTGAGTGTTGAATGATGATGAAAGTATTTTCTTTTTGGGTATTTTCTTTCTTTTTTGGGTCACCCTGCCTCGGTGGGAGACGGCCGACTTGTTAAAAAAAAAAAAAGTAAGGTTAGCATAGGCACCACTGTGGCCACAAATGCAAGTTTTTACAAACGAATACCCAAGTACTTTACATTCAATTTATTTGGCTAAACTGATCAGTTAGTGACATTTTAATGTCCTCATATGAAAAGGTCTAAGTCCTTTTTTAAGTACAGAATATTTCATTAGAACTTTACTAAACCTTAATAATTGAGTTGGTGACTTAATTTCATATTCTTCTGCAGTATAAGGAATACCCTCAAGCTATTTATTCATTATGCAATCACAATCTCCATGGTGAAGTGGAACAGAATTCTTCCCCCGAAAGCCATGCATGCCGTAAGAGGCGACTCAAATGCCGGGAGCAAGGGGCTAGTAACCCTTTCTCCTGTATACATTACTAAATTTAGAGAGAAACTTTATTTTTTCTTCTTAGACCAC